TCTCTCTGTCTCTCTCTCTCTGTCTCTGTCTCTCTCTTGCACCCTTTACCCTGCGTTCCCCTTCCTCTCTCAGGAATGCCGGCCCTGTGCCCAGCCCTCTGCCGCCCGCCCGTCACAGGCCCGTGGCTTCTGCTGCCATCTTGGTGTGGTGGCCCCAAGCAGAGCCCACGCTTCCTCCTGCTTAGCCGCCTCCAGCCACCGAGGCCCTTTTCCGGTGTGAGGCGCTCCCCGGGCCCCCGGGCCCGCTTGCCTGGGTATCACTCCCGCTGGCACACCCTGAGCCGGCAGGTGCGGGTGCCACCCTCTCCGCCCGGCCTGGCGCAGTGGTGAAGAAAAGCCCACTGGCTGATCCCCATGTTGCCCCCTCAGTGCAGGCCACTCGGCCTGGGCTGGGATGGGGTGGCACGGTGGCCCTCAGCCCCTGGACCTCCGTCCCTGCTCATGCAGGCCCTTCCGTCCGCTGCCTGCTGACGCCCTCCCGCCCTGCGGGTGTTTTCCAGAGTCCGCTGTCCGGCCCGCTGCGGAGACGAGCCGTCCTACTGGGCCCCACTGTTCGGAACCAACATCTACGCAGACGTGAGTACGCGCGTCCTCAGCGCCTCTCCTGCCTACACCTCAGGGTCGGCCCCCTCGTTCCAGTGCCCCGGCTCTGCGACGCCCCCCTTTCTGCTCCATGGCCTGGGGTGCCCGTATCTAAGGTGTCACTGCCTGTATCTCCCGGCCCTGGTGAACGCGGCACGGCTGTGCCTCACCTTACCCAAATGCTGCGCTCATGGTTGGAAGCCTTTGTGCCCCACGTCGCCCGTGTTCCCACGTATTTAGTAATCTTTCCAGCCCTCACAGTGCAGCTGTAGAAAGCAGCCCGTCTGCTCCCCGTGCTGCCTTCCTGCGCATCCCTGCACGGCCTCCCAAGGCACGCGGAGGGGAGCCAGGCCCCCAAGGGTGCACGTTAGCAGCCATGCATGCTGCGTGGGGTCTGGTCTTCCGGTCCCTCCTGCCTCACACACGGAGCTTTCACCTGGTTTTTCTGAAGGGACCCCTGGACCTTCGCCTGTTCCTCCAGCTGCCTGGGGCTGAGGGACGTGGTGGTCCGGAGGACGTAAACACGGTCCCAGCTGTGCTGCCAAAGAATGGGTGACCTCGCCATGTCAGCCACCTCTCTGAGGAGGGACCCAGAGCCGCGATTTTCCAGGCCGGGAGTCTTCTGGGTCTAAAAGCCCATGGGGTCATCCTTGCTGGTCTCCAGCTAACTTGGAACTTCGTAATCAGCCTTCCCTCAGCTTGTTTTTTTTGGAGGGAGAGTGGAGGCAGGGTCTCACTTTGCAGTCCAGGCTGGCCTTGAACTCATGGCGATCCTCCTGCCTCAGCCTCTGGAGTGCTGGGATTGCACACCACACCCAGCTCCTCTCTTGGATTCCCGCTCACCACCACCATCTCACCCTGCTCTGCCTTCAGTTGTTCCAGATTCATAACTAAGCTTTTCCCCCTCATCTTCCTCTTTCCTCTTTAAATAGCCCTTTTCTTTTGGAAAACCATTCAGCTAAAATTGAATTCTAAAAGTTAGGACTTTTTTGAAGGAGAAAATAACATATACTGATTATTACACTGAATGGGCGAACCATATGTTGCTGTTGAAGGACAGAGACTGATTTAAAAATGAAGGGATAAACTGGGTGTAGTGGTGCATGCCTGTAATCCTAGCACTCAGGAGGCTGAGGCAGGAGAATTGCCATGAGTTTGAGGCCAGCCTGGGATACTTAGTGAGTCCAGACCAGCCTGAACTACATAGCAAGACCCCGTCTCAAAAAAAAGGGATGGGTGCCGGGCATAGTGGTGCATGCCTGTAATCCCAGGCCAATGAAATGTAAGTGCTCCAAAATGTCCCCAAACTGAGCCCTGGTGTACAGTGAAGGCAGAGGCTCAGGGTGGATGTGGCTGCCTTAGAGGCTGAGGCTGAGGCAGGAGGATCACTGTGAGTTTGAGGCCAGCCTGGTATACATAGTGAATTCAAGGCCAGCCTGAACCTCATAGCAAGACCCTGTCTCAAAAAGCAAAATAAATAAAAAGTAAAGGGCTGGACAAAGCTATTCCAGCCAAACACAAACAGGAAATTCCTAAAAGCAGGAATGGCTGTGTTACCAGCTGGCAACATGGAATTTAAAGCTAAATGTAGTGCACGGGACAAAGCCATTCCTCACGCAGTCCCACGAAAGGTACGATGCACGGAGAAGCTGTGAAGTCCGGTCCGTGTGCGTCAGGCAACACGGCAGCTAAGCGTAAAGTACGAAGGAGTTAGCGATGCAAGGAAACGTGGCGCTCAGAGTGACGGGAAGCTGCTCGTGGTGCCACACCTGTCATTCGTGGGTTCTCTAAGGCGCCGTCCTGGGAGTCACTGTCCCTCTCTACACAGAAGGAAAGTGGGTCACAACAACCTGCTCCGAGCCCCCGAGTGCCCACGGCAGGGGAGAAGCACGGCGGAGGAAACTTCCACTGTTCTTCCCTTCTGCCTCCCCTGCACGCACCTGCGGCCTCACTGGCACCAGCGTGTGCAGGCGCGTGGGTGAAGACCTAGGTGTGGCCAGGTGAGCGCACCTGGGCTGTGCTTCCGGAACCACCGTGTGCACGGCGGGTCTGACATACGTGATGCTCGGTCAGCATTTGTTGGAGGAATAACTGAGATATCCCAGTAGTCAGTGCTAAAAAGGCTTACCAAGGAAAGAAGAAGAGGAGGAGGAGGAGGAGAAGCAGGAGGAAGAGGAGGAGGCAGAAGAGAAAGGAAGGAAGAAAAAGAAGGAAGAAAGAAAGGAGAGAAAGAGAAAGAAAGAAAAAAGAAGGAATGAAAGCAAGGAAGGGGGAGGAGGACAGCCGCCTCCGCTCGGCGGCCCACTCTTGGCCTTCGTTTGTGGGTCAGCCTGTGTTCTGGGAAATGTTGATGCCTGTGGAAACTGCCTGTGTAGCTGAGCTTTGTCTGGGGACGGTCCTGCGCCTGGAAGCACCTCCCAGCCGCCCCTCCCTGGCTGCCGCAGCTGCAGGCAGAGACTCTGGGCCGGAGCAGGGCTGCGCCGTCCCAGTTCCCGATCCCCCTGCGGGATGCCCGGCCTCCTGCCTCCCTCGCTGCTTGGGGAAGTTCTTACGCCTGTGCCCACTGGAACCACCCCCGCCCACGGACTGCAGCCCTGGTTTCCCAGGACCCCAGCAATCCTCATTCAGCGGGGCTGGGGATGATCTGCGTTCCTGACACTCCCCGGCGAGGCTGCAGCTGCAGTCTAAGGGCTGTATCAGAAACCCCTTGGGTGGCCGCTCCGGTCCCTGGGCATCACAACTTGGGTGGCGATGGTGGTCATCGTAGCTCACAGCTGTAAGCATGGTGTCCCACCTGCTTCCGCTGTGTCGCACCTGTCACCATGGCCTTTTGGCCCTCACCACTGCCGCCCCAGCTGGGACAGCCCTCCTCTGCAGGCCTTGGCAGGCGCTCCTGGCTCTGCTCGTGGCCGGCTGCGTGGCTTTGGCCAGGTGTGGCCTCCCTGGCCCTTCTCCTTTGAGAAGGAGTCACCATCATCTTCGGCGACTCGGCACACTGTGTCTGTGCAAGAGAAATGCTTTGAACAGGGCCGCTGAGATGTAGGCGCTCCCAAACGTCTGTGCTGATCCTGCTGTGCACTGAGGACCGAGGGGGGCGGGCGCGGTCACCCCAGGCTGCCCAGCCCCCAGCATGGTGCCGGCCTCCGGGGGACGGCAGCCGCTCATAACCTGCAGGAGTCTGCCGCACCGGGGCCTGGGGAAGGGTGGACACCTCGCACCTCTGCAGACTCGGGGAGGGGAGGGCGCGGCTGGAGGAAGAGGAGGACATGACAGTCAGCCTGCGTGCTCAGGGCAAAGCCGCCTCCTGACGCGGTTCCAGAGGAGTCCGACAGCCGAGGCTCGGGTCTCCCTCCTCTTTGCAGTGCTGCAGACCGCCCGCCTGTGAACCTTTTGGAGGCACAAACCTCTTCGAGAATTGCGGATCCTGGCTCCAGGGGGAAGAGGCGCCCGCTGCAGAGGGGGTGTTTGAAGGACAGGGCATGGCTGGCAGCCCGGGCAGGCGTCAAGCTCCGCACAGGCCGTGCGCGCCCGCTGGTGTTTCCAGGCAGCGCTTCCAGGAGCCGCCTCCATGCTCACGCCTGGCTGGAAGCCCTGGCGGGGGGGGGGGTGCTTGTCCCTGCCCCTGCAGCGGTCAGCGTGGGCCCCGGAAGGAGTGCAGCCCTGGCGATCCGCAGCCCCGGAAGCCCTCGCTCCGTGGTCATCGCGTCTGCACGGCTGCTTGTGCTACGAAGGTCAGGCGTTCGCAGGCCAGGGTCAGGCTGTGTCAGCGCTGACCGCAGAAGTGTTTCCACCCCCCGACAGTCCAGCTGGGATCTGCTGAAGTCGCAGCCCCCTGGCGACTTTGGCAAAGTTACGAGTATCAGGAGCCCACGTCTTTCCCCCGAGAATGGGAGCGGTGGTCGGCACCCATCCTGGCTGAAGACTGAGACAAAGACGGCAGGCCGGGGGCACGGCCAGGAGCGTGGCACGCGTGGGGTGCCCCTCGCCCCTCATGTGCACTCACGGCCCCGAACCTCCTGGGCGGTGTGAGGCGCGGATCTCGGCTCCCAGGGCCAGAAGGAGAGCGGCGATGACAGTGGGTTGGACTCGGGACAGAGGAGCCTTGACTGGGCATCACAGCCACCGGGGGCAGGGGGGCGGTCAGGTCAGGAGGTCGGGACCCAGCCTGGGGCCCAATGGACGCTGGGCACAGGCACTGCCATTGAGCCCAACTCTTGGATTTGAGGGGTGCAGGCTACCAGTGCTCAGACAGCTCCCCAAGGCTCTTTCCCCTGGGCCAGCTGAGCCCCATGACCATGCAGCCAGGGCTCCCTCAGCAGGAACAGGTACATGGGGACCAGGAAACAGTACCTGCTGCTCGGCGGGAGGCCTAGCACTGCCCAGCACGTGAGAGAACCCAGCTGCCTGCAGACCTGGGCCTCCCTGAGCCTGGCTGCCCTGGCCCTCTTTCTACTCCTCAGACCCAACACATCTGCTCCTACCCCAGGGCCTTTGCACGAGCCAATCCCCTCTGCCTGGATGTAGTATGCTGTTGTCTCCATAGCCGTGTCAAGTTCTCTTCCTCTTTCAGTCTCCCCTGACAGCTGCTCCAGAACAGCCCCCTGCACTGTGTCTCCATGCCACGACCTGCTCTTCTTTTCCCCACAGCTGAAGGGACACTGTGTGTGTGTGTGTGTGTGTGTGTCTGTGTCTGTGTCTGCTGAGCCCCTGGGGCCTGGCACACCCTACGTGCTGAGAAAGTTATTTTTGGATGAATGAGTGAGGCCTCCACCCCACCATCTCTGAGGAGCCGGCCTGGTCCACCCCAGCCGCGAAGAGCGGGGTCACAGCCAGCCTGGGAGCTCCTCAGCCCTGTGACCCAGCACTGAGCGGGCCTCCTCCCTCGATTGCAGACGTCCAGCATCTGCAAGGCAGCCGTGCACGCAGGCGCCATCCGGAACGATATCGGGGGCTACGTGGACGTGATGCCCGTGGACAAGAAGCGGAGCTACTCGGGCTCGCTGAGGAACGGCGTGCAGTCTGAGAGGTAGGCCGGGCCGCGCCTGCGCCAGAGCTCTTCCTCGGCACAGACGCGGGTGCGGTGCTTCCCGGCGCCCCGCCTGTTTCCCTTACCTGGTCAGCTAGAGCTTTCTTGTGTCTGTGACCACTGCCTGCTCTTGTAGGGCGCTCAGGCCCAAGGACAAGCATCCCTCCCGTCAGCGGGGGTGGGCTGCAGGGCCTGTGTGTGTGTGTGTGTGTGTGTGTGCGCGTGTGTGTGCATGTGCGTGCAGCCATGCATCTGTGTTTACCCCACAAACAAGTGGGATTCAAGCGAGGCTGCATGGGGGTGCGCAAAGCCACACACTGAGGCTGTTGGCTTCCCAGCGCGGGCGGAGGTCAGGAGCCCAGGGACTCCGCTTCACACGGCTCTCGCTGCGCCTCAGTTTCCCCATCTGGAAAGTGAGGATCCTCGCTCACTGTCCCTGCCTCCCCAGGGAGGTTCGCGGGACGTGCCTGTCTAGGCCCCGGGAAATAAGGGTTCTGTCACCACCCGTACTCCGCTCAGGAGGTCTTGGGGTGCTTGGAACCTGTCTCCCCCAGTCACTGGTGAGGTGGGCCTGGGCTGTGCCGGGTGGACATAGCGTGGACTGCAGCTGGCGTCTGTCCCCGTCCACCCTTGAGGGCTCACCCCACCTCGATGCACGGCCTCTTTGGGGACCGCGTGCCTCCTGTGGCTGGTTCCTTGTGCTCCCCCGAAGCAAAGCTCTGGGACAGAGCCGTGTGCCTTTCCCGGCATCGGGGCCCGGCTGGGGTGCTGGGCCGCCGTCCCAGTGCTCCCCAACCCCTCTGGAGGCCAGGACCAAGCATCACAGACCGGGCAGCTTGTGTGGCGCAGGTTTATTGCTGACCGTTCTGGAGGCCATAGGTAGGCCAGATCACGGTGGGGTGGCCTGGTCCTCCCCGGCCACGCTGTCTGCCCGAGACGGTGCTGTTCTCTGTCCTCACGGACCCTCTGCACCGTCTGCGTCCTGGAAGCCTTGCCGGACACGGGGTGGCTTGAAGGCCTTGCTGGTGGCCTCATTTTACCTTATTCACCTCTGGAAAAGCTCCATCTCCAGCTTGTTGTGGGGTGCACACCTGTCATCCCAGCATGCTGCGGGGCTGAGGCAGGAGGATCCAAAGTTCAAGCCCAGCCTGGGTAATTTAGGGACTTAGCAAGATCCTACCTCAAAAACATGAGGACAAAACGAAAAGCCCCGCCTGTGTGTACAGAGGGCAGGACTTCAGCATATCAGTTTCCGGGGGGCATGATTCAGCCCGTGACTGAAAACAGAGTGGAGACGGTAATGTGTTCCAGTCCGCGGGTGCCGACGCGCCCCAACCTTCGAAGGGCCCGGCCCCCACCCTGTGTCCCCCGGGCCTGAGCAGCGGGGTCGTCTGTGTATGAAGGTACCACACACGGGCCCCGCCCAGCTGCCCTGGGTGCTCACAGGCCGTTGAGGGAGGCGGCTGCCGTCCATGTAGCTGGAGTTAGAGCTCCGCCCTGGGACTCAAGGGAGATTCCGTCGAAATCCGAGAAGGCCACAGAGCCTCGACCAGGTGGGATCCCGGTCAGGCTGGGGAAGTCCCAGGACCCCAATTTATTGGGCTCTTTGTGTCCCCCTGAGGGAGAGCAGCTTGTGTAGGGGCTTTGTCCCCCCTGCCCTGGGACCCTCGCTGTGCCTTACGATGCCCCAAGGTGGTCTTTGTTGCACCATTGCTCCCAGGCATGCCACCGTCCTGGCTTCCCTGAGACCCAAGTCCAGGCTGCGCTCACTCTGGGCATCACCTGGGCACCGAGGTGGCACTGGCTGCACTGGAGGAAGATGTCAGCGGATCCTCAACCCCTCCAGAGCGATGCCTGGCCCGGTCCCTCAGCGTCCCCCGGGCTGTGGCTGAGGTCTAAGGGGCTGAGTGAGGTGCTGGCTCTGGGTGCCCCGGTTTCCTCATCCATGGCAGGGGAAAGGTCTGGGTGCCTCCTGTGAGCCTGTTGGGGTGATGGGTCTCACGGGGCCTCTGTCCCAGCTTCCAAGTCGACTCAGATCGTGGTAGAAAAGCGCAGTCCCAGACCACCATGGCTGCAGAGTAGGCATGCGGGGGTAGCTGCTCTGTGTGTAAGAATGACACAGAGGTGACCCTACACCTGCGCCATCAGCGCTGTCACCCCTCCACCTGGGGCTTCCACCCCCGAGTGTCCCGCTAACAACCTGAAGAAGGAACACTGGGTCTGTACTGCACACACACGGGCGCTTTTCCTGCCGTCACCCCGGGCAGCACCGGGCAGCGGCTGTCTCGGAGCTGGGTGTCTCTTCTGTCGGTTAGGTGACCCAGCGGTGGCTGAGCGTAGAGGGAGGGACACAGGTGGTGTCGGTGACATTTTATGTACGGGACTCAAGCGTCCTCGGGGGCCTGGAGCAGGGACCCCAGGTTCCACGCGTGGCTGCATGTGCTTCCGGTACTGAGCAGGTAGGAGCCGTCCAGGGGGCATAGCCCAGAAGGGACAGGCGCAGCGGGACGTGCGTGGCAGGCTGGAGGGCGTGTGGCGTCGGTGGCGGTGGGGACCCTGCTCTGCCTTTTGCTAGAGGGGTCATCTTGGGCAGGCAGCGTCCCCGAGCCCCAGTGCCACCTCCGTCAGAGGCGTGGCCGCGAGGAGTAAGTGTGACCCGGTGCAGACTCACCTGCAGCTGCCGGGAGCGCGCTGACGCCCTTGCTGGGAGTCAGCGGCGGAGGTCGGTTTCTAGCCTCAAGGCGCTGTGGTTCTTTCTGCTAGGCTCGGCGGGCTCCGTGCTAGGAAACAGCCTCCAGCCAGGCCTCTCGGGATGTTGCATGTGTCCCTCTGTGCACCTGTGCACCTGTACCCGCTGCCCACGTGCCACCGCCCTGCCGGCCCCCGTCTCTGCCCTGGTGGGCACAGTCACCTCGGGAGGGCACAGACACAGAAATGATGGCACAGGTGGCAGCCCAGGGCCACTGTCACGGCCTGAGGCACAGGGGCCCGAGGGCGTCACCTGGTAACAGGGCTCCAGCAGAGCACTGTCAGGACCCCTCAGTGTGACCCGGCCCTGGGTGTCCCTGTTTTTTCTGAGGCACCTCAGCCAGCCTCTACCCTCTCCAGACTGTGCGAGCCCACGCTGGCCCCGGAGGGCGACACTGTCCCCAGTGGTTGCAGACGGCCCCGAGGGAGGCGCAGGTGGAGGGCACTGTGAGCAGTGCGTGGAAAACGGCATTTGAAGTTTCGGTCCCACACACGAGCACAGGCCCCGGCCCAGCCCATCAGTGGCTTGGGTTGCACAAGGTGCTGGGCGGAAGAGGGTTCCCGGAAGTTGTGAAAGGCGGCTGTGGGAAGGAGAGCCCGGGACAGCAGCCCCCTCTCTCACCCCGCCCACGGGAGCAGGCAGGGTGGAGGCATCCGACCTGGGTCACCACCGGGCATCCAGAAACGTGGCAGCAGTGACAGGCAGCACCCTTGGTCACTTGGTCTTTAACAATATCACCCCATGCAGATGCATGTGGGGGACTGCCCTGTGATCAGTGGGCACGCGTGACAGCCTCTGTGCTGCGTGTGTCTGGGGCCTGGGGCACAGCGGGGAGCAGGAGGGCTAAGTCCCTGTCCTTGAAGGCAGGTGTCTGGATGTGCGGGGCCGACAATGCCCACCATAGCCCATGGGTTCTCAGGAGGAAAACGCTACCGTTTGTACAGTCTTCCTCTTTCCAGTCCTGGGATAAGCCTGGGGTCGCTGAGCTGCATCCCCAGCCCTTTTTATTTTTTAGTTTGAAACAGGGTCTCTTGAAGTTGCTAAGTTGGCCAGGCCAGGCTTGAACGTGGGAAGCAGGGTGTTCAGGCTCCCGGGTGTCAGTGGCTGCTGAACGCCTGTCCCAGACCCTGCTGGGGAGGATCTCCCAGCTCCGTGCATCCCTGCAGACTGGGCCCTGCAGGAACCTGGTTCACAGGTGTGGAAACAGGCCCAGGAAAGGGCTGCCCGGCCCGGGACCTGCAGTGAGATCAGAATCCGTGTGCATCTGACTCCTGGGTTTTCCGTCAGCGGAGGTATAAGCAGGGTTGGAATCCTTTAGAAAGAAAAATCCTCGGCCACATCCACCCTGCTGTCCCTACACACGCGTGCACATGTACAGAGGCACATGCGCATGCAAGAGGCGTCCATGGGCTTTCTCAGTCGTCAAAAGAAGTCACCCTTTGAGAAGCCAGCGCAGGCAGATGTTCCTGGTGTGCCGGCCCTTTCTGGCCGCGTTCCCTGCTCCTCGGGGACACTCGTGGGCCTCTCCCAGAACGTGCCGTCCTCTCTCTCCGGTCCCGTGGGTGCCGTGACACCGGACAGAGCAGGAGGGGGCGCAGGAGGCAGCCCGCACAGAGGGGCTGCTCTGGGTCATCCCTGGCCCTTTCCTGGCCCTTGAAAGGCTCCTCCCTCCCCCCACTTCCAGGAAACTTCCAGAAAGAGTGGAACCCACTTTACCACACAGCGCTCAACAACCACACCCAGCAACAACTATGACAAACGTCCTGTGTGTTTCCCTTGGGATTTTCCTGGTCCCACAGCCCCGCTGGGAAGGAGGTGCACACGATCTGTGTGTTGTTCCCAGGGCTGTGTATATCTTCCCAAGCCCCGTCTGCAAGGCCTGCACTGTCATGTGGCTACCCATGCGCTGGCCGCGGTGTGGATGGCCTGTGCTTTATCCACCATCACCACTAACATGAGGTTGTTTCTTTTCCTGTTTCTGTAATGAACAACCCCAGGAAGCACCTCTTTGCACAAGCCTCCGGGCGGCTTCCTGGGTTACTTCCTCTCAGCAGAGTGCCCACGGCCATGGAGGCACTGTCTCTGTGTTATGAACATGTGTCACCTGTGTAGTCCCCTCTCCTGGTGGCTTTCCAACACACTGGGTGAACCACCCCCCAACCCTCTGGCACTTTCTCTCTGTTCCCAAGGGCATCCCTACCCCAGGGCCTTTGTACTTGCTGCCATTTAGTCCAGCCCTCGCAGCTCCATCCTCCTGCCAAGCGTCCTGCTAGAGCTGCCCTCACCCTCCCGCTTGGATCTGTGCTGTCCCCATCTCCGTGGTGTCACCACCGTCTGAGAGCATTTCCTGTGTACATGCAGCGGCTTTTCTCCTCAGCCGGGCTGTAGACTACACGAACCAAAAACCCATCAATTTTCTCCCCCTACCCCTGACCCTGAGCCCAGTGCCTGGCACGCAGTAGATGCTCAGGAAACACTGTTTGGATGGCTGTCAGACTGCTGAGTTCAGCAATGTGTGCAGAAGTGGTTGAGGGATTTTTAATGCCCTTTATCAAATGTTTATAGCATCCTTTATGGAAGTTCTTCAACGTCTTTTATGAAAATTCCCCAGGATTCAGAGCTGTTTAGCTCCTGTTAGACGTATGGGGAGTTGAGAGCGAACCCACGGAGAGCGTCAGGTGGCTGGGCTGGGTAGTGTGGGAAGGGACGGCTGTGTTTTAATTATGGAATCACATCCCTGCGCCAGACGCATGACACTGTCCGCACGCGGCGGCCTGGAGCTCCGTGAGTGGCTGGGGCGGGAGCGCGGGGACAGAGGCTCCCTGGCCCCCACCCCGGGGGCTCTACGTGCTTGCGGTGAGCGGCACATCCACACTGGCTGTCACCCTGTTTGCAGTGTTAGGGCGGACGAGGTGCTCAGCAGGCAGGCCCAGGCGAGATGGCTGGGGCCTTGGGCTGGGTCCCCACCTGGACAGCTGCCCAGTGGCTCCCTGTTCACGGTTGCTTGGGGCCCTGTGGGTGTGACAGCCCCGCCCAGCCACGCAGTTCCGGCCAGAACGTGGGGCTACGTGCACACCGGGCGCGGCCCTGGGGACCTACTTCGACAGGGGAATTTGCGTGCCCCGAGGCCCCTGTCCACCCCAGGCCAAGCGTGCTGCCGCATCCTGGCTCTCTGCTCCTCTCCTAGCTTCCTCTCCCTCCACTCCTGTCCCATCCGCGTTTCCAGAGTTCAGTCCCAGGGTAGCCAAGAGCACAGAGCTGCCGTGAAGAAAGGCAGAAAAACAAGCAAGAATTCCAAACAGCTGCTCCCGCAGGACTGCAGTCTCCCCCGGGCTGGGCCGCATGTCTGGGCCAGGGGTCGAGTCGGGTCCAGCCCTGGGTCTGTGTTGTACCCTGAAGGAAGCTGTACCCCCCTGCTCAAATGGTCGAGGGCTCTGACCTTCACGGAGGAGCTCACAGCTGCCAAGGTCACAGGTGCTCTTGTGCTTGGAAGCAGCACCTGCCCCCGGAGCTTGGTCTTGGTACCTGGGCACAGACCCCCCAGGGTGCCAGCCTTATTTTCCCCAGGGTTAACAAGAGCGAGAGGGATAGTGGGGAGGGGAAGTCTTTTGCACCTTTAAAATTAACAGTCATGAGCTGGGGTTTTAGCTCAGTGGCACAGCGCCTGCCTGGCAAGCACGAGGTTGTGAGTTCGATTCCCGGTACCGGAAAAAAAAAATTAACAGTCATGTGCAAGGGTGACCTATTCAGAAACTAAAAAGCACAGCTAAGCATTGTGCATTTTAATTTTGGTGTAAAAGGAGCTCTCCTGGTTGCACACTTCCATGCAAAAGTAAAATGTTGGTCTTTTGCCTCATACAGTGTGTACACATTAATTAAAAGTGGGTCGAAAGAAGGCATGCACACAAGCGCTAAAAAATACAAATCTCTTAAAGTAAGTATAAATCATCATGACCCTGAATTAGGCGATGGCTTCTTAGATATAAGGCCAAATGCACATCTGTAAGTGATAAAAATGATAATTTGGACTTCATCACAATTTATAAGTTTTGTACCTTAAAAGATGCCATTAAGAAAATGAAAATACAAAGCACAGACCAGGAAAACATTTTTGCAAATTGTATATCGGGTAAAGGGTCCCATGCATGCGCGCACGTCTGTGGTATGAAGTCTGAAACTCAATAGTAAGAAACCAACACTAGGAAGTTGCCCGAGTAGACATTTCACCGTGGAGACGCAGCAGTGGCTGTGAAGCACATGGGAAGATGCCCCGTGTGGGGAGGCCCCAGGGAGATGTCACACCCTGCGGGCGACCACTGCGCCCCACGACGTGGATTTAAGGGCCGCTGTGCGGTGTGGGGCGGGAACACCCTGCATTACTAGAGGGAGCCGAATGGTGCGGCCGTTTTTCCAGAGTTGAGCGAATGTTTATCATCAGGCCACTGTCCAGCACCAGGTCACACCCAAGGCAGCGGGCAGCACTGTCCACCTACAGCCGTGGCTGGGCGCTCACAGCTGGGCAGAGAATGGAGAGACGCCTGGTGTCTTCAAATGGGAACAAGGGATAAATCAAGTGTGGCCTGTCGTGCTGCAGGGTCTCCTCCGCCAGAGAGGGGGGTAGGTGCTGACACCCCTGGTGCGGGTGGGAGAAGCCAGACCAAAAAGCTACATAGCACCAGATTCCCTTCAGTGGTTATGTGCAGAAATATCCAGGCAGGGTCACGAGGCGGCAGTCATCAAGGTGGCAGAGGAGGAGGGAAGGGGCACCTCCCTGAGATGACCGAAACCGCGTGGTGCGGCTGGCTGCACAACCCTGCAAGGTCTTTGAAATCCACCGCCCCGCCCCTGACGAAGCCGCATGTCCCGCACGATGTGCTTCTGTGACGCTGTTAAACAGCAGTGTGTCTTCGGATTTGCTGCCCGCGTGAGATGCGTGTGTGTCCTTGGGGCAGCCCGCTGGTCTTCTGTGAGACAGGGGCACCGACAGTCACACCTGCCCCGGGAAGAAGGTGATGAGGAGCCTGCAGTGGTTGGCACAAAGCCCAGACCCCTGGGTGAGCTGGCATGGGGGGCAGGAGCGTGCACCTTCCCGTCACCCCGCCTGGGACTTGGCTGGCCAGGTGGCTGCAGTCTGGTTTGACAGGTGGCAGCAAAAACCGCGCAGGAGTCTGGGAGGGCGAGGCCAGCTGCCAGACTAGACTGGTAAATCTCAAGTTAGGAGAAAATAACTTTAACAGCCCTGACCTAGATTCAGCCCTCGGCTCACGGCAGAGCAGGCGGGCTCGCCAGCTTTGCCTGACTCAGCGGCCTTCCCGGCAGCGGCGGGGCCACATCCCTCGCTGAGCTGTGCCCGCTGTCCCGCCTGTCGTCGTGACGTGCTGTCCCTTTCCCCTCTCTTGCAGCCTGAGTGCCACCCCAGATGGAAAGGCCTTCCGGATCTTTGCAGTCAGACCGTGAACGCTCCGCAGCAGGGCCAGGGGTGTCTTCAGCAGGGATTTCGGGTTTTGTTTTTCCTTTTTGTCATTTGGGGAGTGGGGGTGGGGAGATGGAGGGTCAGGGAGCTTCCGTGGAAAGGCGGTGGTGTCGTGTCCCTTGGTGGTCTTTGGCAAGGTGACATCTCATCCCCGTCAGACAACTGGCACCAGACCTGCCGAGCCCTGGGTCTCCACGCGGGGCCCCTTCCCTCCTTTGGGGACCTGCCCTGTCACCGAGATGTCCCTTGCCATGTGTTCTCTTGGGAGTAGGGGTCAGATTCCCACCCCCGAAAGAATACAACATTTGGGGTCACCAGGGGGAGGTGCTGGGACCGGGCAGAGCCCCGGAGCAGTGCAGGTGGGTTTCAGGAAGGGAGAGAAAGTAGTTATTTAAAAATAAAAAGCCACGGTCCGTCCCTGCCAATGGAGACAAAGGGCTTCATGTTTGCTGGTCAGACAAATGGCTGGAGGGGAGGCCAGGCGGCGCAGCGAGGCCCGGCCCTGCCCCAGCTTAGCCCGCGTGGCTGTGTATCAGCAGTGCTGGTTTGCTTAGTCCAGCGCAAGTCCAGAGCCGAGTCTTGTCTTTGTCACACCCTTTGTCCTGTGGCCTCTGTTTCTCGCCATGACCTTTGGGCTCGTTGAGGACTGATGCATCCAGGTCCCTTCTGGCCCCTCCCGGTGCCAGTGCTTTGCCAGGGCTCAGCCCGCTCTGTCTGCAGTCCGGGCTCTGGTGGTGACCCGTGTTCAGCGAGGGAGGGGTGGGCGCTGGACGCACCCTGCCCGGGGGAGGGGCTCGTCTCGGTGAGGAGCCCGAGCCCGCCCGAGCCGGCGGGGGCAGTGGCGGCCCTGGAAGGATTTCTTTTCCTGTTTTTATGGCCCGGCTCCCAGCAGTGCCATGTGCTCTGCTTCCACCACGGCTCAGGAGCCAGGGCCAGAGCCACGGCGGAAAGCAGCGCCCTTTGCAGTCGCCTGCCCGGCAGGAGGTAAAATTTCCCTCTGCAGCCCCGGGCTGGCCCACGCACCACTTCGCTGAACGCCGGCTTCTAGCTGGTTTTCACTCGACAGCAGAATGTGTCACAGGGGAAAGGACGGAAGCAGGAAACCAAGAGGGCTCACGTGGCGTCTTCGTCATTTGGTTGCCCCAATCAGCGCAGACCCTGCTGTTAATCGCTTTTCAACAACAACCCTCTTCAGGGTTTGCACAGTACAAGCTGCTGGCTCACCTGAGCTTGGCGCAGTGGGACGGCGTTGTTGCTGTGGGTATCGTGGGTTCCTGGCAGTTCCGGGACCCCAGTGTCCGGGAGAGAGGATTTGGCTCCCGCTCAGGCGGGCGCCTCGTTGCCATGGGGCCCAGCGCTCAGGTTCCGGAGCACCACCCCAGGTGAGCCAGAGTTCCAGTGTGGCCCGGCCTCACCGTAGGGTCCGGGTCCTTGGTGTCTCCTCAGCGGCCCTTCCACCTGGGAGCAGGGGACAAAGCCAGGGCCGGGCCCGGCGGCCTTGCCCATCCTTGTAACATTTGGAACTGGAACCGCTTTTCCGCTGGAAATGAAGTAGAGTACAAATGATAAGCCTCTGTAGCCAGGGCCACCTCCTACTCTGCGCATCTGACCGTGTCGCCGCCCCAGGGAAGTCCCGGTTGGCTTCGGTTGTACCCTCGTGCTGGGAAGGGGTTCGGGTTCTTCAGTTACCTGTAGGCTCACTCGGCCCGCAGTTTATGTGTGTGCTTTTTTCTATGAAAAATGATGTATTTTACTACTCCCTATGTACAAACGTTTCTTGTGGTTTTTTGTGCTTTGCGTGGACAGGGCCATGTGGGTTGTTGCTATGGTTCAATAAAACTGGTGTGATTCCTCCGATGTCTCCGAGATTGAGCAGTGTGTGAGTGGAACACCGGGCTGTGTTGGGCGCGCTCTTCTCCTGGGGGCTGTGCTGTGAGGCGGGGAGAGCTGGCGCGGAAGTCCCGGCAGGGCGGTCACAGGGCCGAAGCCTGGGGCGGGGCCTAGTCTCGGCATTTCACAAGACCGCGAGGGGTTGGGGGGACGGCTGTGTTCGCACCCTTTGCTCTGGCTGCCGCGGTGAGATTCCTGACCGGGCGGCTTCGGTCCCAGGCGTCTCATTCATGGTCCCAGAGGCTGAGGTCCAGGATCGAGCTGGGCCGCAGCCGCTGTCCTCCAAGGCCTCGCTTCTTGGTTTGCAGATGCTGCGCTCCTAGTTCCGTCCTCCCACGGCGTCTCCTCTGCGTCCCCCCTGACATCGGCCTGTTCTTTTGTAACTGAGGGAACTGCCACTGAGCTGCATCCCAGCCCTGCCTTTTTAGGGTTCTGTTTTGGAGACAGGGTCTTGCTGAGTTGCCCAGGGTGGCCTTGAACTTGTGGTCCTCCTGCCTCAGCCGCCTGAGTAGCTAAGATTAGAGGCGTGGCGACCGTGGCCGGGTCCCTCTCTTCTTCTAAGGGGCCAGGCGCAGTGGACCAAGGTGCCACCCTTGTGACCCGTGTGACCTCGATTGCCGCCCGAAAGGACCCACATCCACGTCGAGTCCCCGCAGGTGCTGGGCCCCCACCCGAGGAACTGGGGCCCGATTTGGCCCCAAAGACCCTCCCAGGCGTCACCCAGAAGTGCCCAGAAGTGCCCAGCACCCGCTGCTCTCCCAGCCCCCATCACCAACGGCGTGGCTGTGCCAGGGCGGGAGGAAGAGGCTCGTGAGTCGGGCAGCTCCGGGCGACGCCAGCTTGGGTCCCCAGCGGAGGGACTTCCTGGCACCCGGGGCCAGGCTCCTCACCAGTCTCAGACATGGGACAAGACGGGCCCCTCTCAGCCAGGCTGCTCCTGGGTGTGAGGACAACACAGCACAGCCACCCAAGGACGGAAAGGGGCCAGTGAGGACGCTGCGGGCCCTGGGGACGGGGCCGCCCCTCACCGCCTCCTCACGCTGTCACAGAGGCTGGAGGTGGGGCTTCCGGACCAGCCCGCCAGGGTCTCCTTTTCTCAGGCTCTGGACCGCTGAGTCAGCACCTCTGTGGTGGCCTGCGTCCCTGTAGTGCCGTGGGGACAGGCTGTGGTCATCACTTGTGGGGGGCCGGGACACACAGCAGCCCTGCCAGCCCTGCCCTCTGTCCCTGCCAGGTGACACGCTGCCCCCTGCTGGAGTGTGGGAAAATCCTCCCCGGATTCAGCCGGGCCCTGCTTTTATGCCCGCGTCACGGTTGGGCCAAAGCTGTTCCTAGGGCTGTCACTAGGGCACTCAGCAATCAGGACCGACCCCGGCAGGAGGCCTACTCATGACAGATGCCGGCCACAGATCCAGGTAGCTGCCTGGAGTACAGGCCAACACTGCAGTCGCTGCACGTTCAAGGCCCGCCTGGGCTACAGATGAGACCCTGTCTCAAAACCAAACTGAATCAAACCAAACCTTACCTTTTAGTCCCTTAAAAAATGACTTTGGTGGTGAAGGCACGGTTGGAAACCTCACAGCATTCCTCTTAGCTTGGGTCGTGCCCGAGCAGATGGGGTGACCTGCATCAGGAAGCGGGAGACAGCCCGGAGGTCTCTGCTGTGTGGCCCTGGCCTGGCTCTAGGGGGCATGAGGCCTGCCTGGTGCTACCCTGCAGCCATGGTGCCGGACAGGAACAGCCCCTCCCCAACCTGTGCTCACGCTCCTGTGCTGGGCCGAGGTGTGAAGGATGTCACAGTTGGGAGGAGGGGACCCCCGTGCCAGCCACCTGCCTGTGGAACGTGCCAGGCACGGAGCACGTACACAGCGGCGCATCAGGAGGCACAGGTCTCCTGCAGTGACAGCCGCTTCTCAGAAGCTGGTCGGCTTTGTGTGTCACGCACATGGCTACAAGTGACAGAGGCCCGGCCAGGCGTGTGGTACCGGGTCCCCCTCCCTGTCTGCCGCGCCTTGCTGGGCACTGGGCTGAGGCAGAGGTGCGGGGAGGCGCAGGCGCAGTCAGAGGCGCAGACAGAGGCCAGCCAGTAACCCGGCCGGGCCACGGCCCCTCCGCCTCCAGTACTTCATGCTTTAGTGCTAGAATTTCCTCACTCTTGTTCTAAGTTTCTAACTTGGAGATTTCCGAGCTTTTCATTTATCTGAAAGATGCTTTCTGCCTCTGAACCAATGTGTGCAGCTGCCTCCTGTGTCTGGGTCACCTGGGCTGCTCAGCAAGTTTTCTCTCAAAGGACCCAACTTACAAATCTGTCAGATCTGATCCACCAAGTTCCCTCGGTCCACGCAGCCTGGACGTTGCAGCAGGAAAGCAGCCATAGACGATGTGGCCGGGCAGTCTGTCACGTGAGTGTGCGTGCCGCTCCAGTGAAACGTCCAGAAGCAGGTGGCCAGTCTGTGCCCCGAGCATGCTGGCCTCTCTCTTTTTTCCAGTACAGGGGACTGAATCCAGGGCCTTCACACTGAGCCACATCCCCAGCCTGTTTTTTATTTTTTTATTTTGAGACAGGATCATTAGGTTGCACGGGTTGGGTTCAAACTTGCAATCCTCCTGCCTCAGCCTCCCAAGTTCTGGGATTCTGTCCCGAGGTGCTGCAGTGTGCGTCCCTGGCACCCAGGACTCACTCCTGTGGCAGCGTGCAGTTTTCCATCTCAGGTAGCCTCCTCATAGAGGCCAGAGCGTCCTGTCCACACCCCACCTGGTCCCGCACTGTCCCCACAGCGTCCGTTGCAGTGATCTCAAGCCTGACCACACGCATTCTCCCTGTCTCTCAGTGTCTTTGAATCTGACACAGCGAGCTGGCCTTGGCCTTGTGTGACACTGACATTTTCAGTGATTCTCGGTGATCGGTTTAAGTCTGTGCCCCAGGGTGTCTGTCTGAAGTCCTCACAACAACAGCCAGGGCGGGGACACCAGAGAAGGGACTCTGTGTCCTTCTCCTACTTCAGCCTGGGAGGCCCAGCTGGTGTCAGTTCTGCTTGCTGGATTGAGGAGTCCCAGATGTTCCCTCCGGGAAGCCTCTGCATGCTTCTGTGTCGCCCTCTGGTGGCAGAGAAGCTGGGGCAGTGCCCGTCCCCAACAGCCCTCTCCTGCCAACTTTAGGCTCTGGGGCATCTTGCTGAAACAAGCGTCTTCGTTGCCAAGCGCTGACCTTTCTGATCCCCCTCTTCATGTTCATCTGTCAGCCTGGTCCTGCTGGGAAGATGACCTTTGCCCGTTTATCCACCCACAACACATGTGTGCACTAGGATGCACCGCTACTCCACGCCCACCTGCCGCGCAGGGCCTTGGGGTCCTTATTTCAGAGCTCGAGTCTTCCAGCTTGGAACGGCGGCAGCCGGTCCAGCTGGCACTGGGAGCTCCCGACAGCACGGCCTCCCTAGCTCTTCCTGGTTTCTGGCACAGTGAGAGCCGCCGGCCTGCCCAGTCCTGGAACACACCATCCCTCCCAGGAGCCCGGTGTCCTGGCAGGATGCGCGGGCTGAGAGGAGGATTGTTGTGCTCAGCGCTTGCTCTGCCCAGGCCCGGGGCAGGGCTGGAGGCCGGAAACCAAGGACTTCATGTCTGACATTGCTTCCTCCTGCAGTCCAGGAGCGCCATGTGGCTCTGTGTGTGCCTTGTGCCTTTGACCTGGGAGCTCCTGGCACAAGGAGTGGGTCCTGGAGGCTTCTGTCATGGAGGAGGGGGCTGCATGGCACCTGCAGAATCCCCAGGCTGTAGATTGGGGCACCAGTTGGGGGGCAGAGATGGCTGGGCCCCCACAAGCAGCCGTGTCTGGGAGTGGCAAGAGCCAAGGTGCCAGAGCCCCAGAGAGAGGGTGTCAGATCCAGAGGGGTCTCTTCATGGCGAGAGGGCCTGAGTGGAGACCCAGTCCTGTCAGTGGCAGCCAGCACAGTGACCAGCAGTGACCACTCAGCTGCTGTCATCTGAGCAAATTGTACCCAAAACCTGACGTCTTCTTCCTGAAGACCAGGATGCTGCCATAACCTGACCCAACCACCCAGCCAGCCACCCGTCCACTACACATTCTCTATCCATCTGTCTGTCTACCTGTCCATCCATCTACTCATGGAACCATCCCTGCCCATCCATCCACCCAGCCACGTACCTACCCACCATCCATCCGTCCACCCACCCACCCAGCTGTTCCTTCTGCTTTCATCCATCCTCCATCTGCCCATCCATCCTTCCATCCACCTGCCGCTCATCCTCCATCCGTCTCCCCATCCTTCACCCTGTCTGCCCACCCATCCCTTCTCCCACCTCCCCACCCTTCCCCCACCCTCCACCCACCCACCCATTCATCTTTCATTCATCTATGCCCCCATCTGTCCATCCCCCACTCCCCCGCCCACCCTCCACCCGCCCGTCTATCACACATGGAGCTTACATGTGTGTGGAGGAGGCAGACAGTAAGCAGGGGGCCAAGGTCCGTATACTGTGTGGCAGGTGGTGACAAGGGCTGCGGGGAAGTCACCAGGAAAGTGGAGGGATATGCCGGTGGGGTTGTTGGTCCAGGCAGGCGGCACTGCCCAGGAGCGGAGGGAGGAGAGGAAGGAGCCGCCGGGTCTCCGGAGCTCTCCCAGGCAGGGGTGCAGAAAGCCCCAACAGATAGAGACAGAGACAGGACCGCACCCAGCGGCGAGAGGACAGCAGAGGGACGGTGAGGACCAGGGACAGGCATTCGGCTGTCCCTGGGAAGGACCTGGGCTGTGACCCCAGGAAAATGGGGAGCCACAGGGGCTCGGAAGGGCTATGTTCCACTTCTGCTTTTAAAAGCTGCGGCACCCCAAGGAGAAGGGGCAGAGACGAGCCCCCACCCAGGTGGCTCAGTGCTGCAAGGAGCCAGCACTGGATCCAAAGACAGGGCAGGGCCCCGCCTGGAGCCCCGGCCGAGCCTCCACCCCGCC